ATATACAGTACAAGCAGGTATTTGTGCACATATTAAGTACATACGTATGTGTGTGTATATACAAAATGTTATATTTTTCCAGGCATGGTACACCTATAATCCCAGCCATCGAGAAGCTGAGGTTGGAGGATAGAAAGCTGAACCCCAGCCTGGGCAATTTAGTAATTGAGCAGGACACTGTCTCAAAAGATAAAAATGCCGAGGATGTATCTTTCTGTGAAGGCTCTGGGTTCAATCCTCAATACTGAAAACTAGCTTACTATCACGGACTAAATATCACCTCTCTTTAACAGTATCATGGCTAAGCAAACTATAGATAATAAGAACATAATATCACCAAAGCTGGGGAGAAAGGGGAAGCATCAAAATGGCACTAAATAAAGTTCATAAACAAAGTCAAATATTCTAGGAATTTTTCAAAACAGGTCAGTGTTCACAAGGAATCAGATCCAGAGGGACCCTTTCTCTTGAGCCACTGTCTTCAGCTGTCCAGGAAGTTAGGCATGACAGCCTGAGCTGCTGGGGGTAGATTTCCTTATTGAAACTTCCAAACAGCTTGAATTTAAATGTCTTTGTGCTCTTATTTTCTTATGGAACAGTCTGGTCTTTTCCCAAATTATTTCTGTGCTTAGGGGCATTTTCTCTTGGCTTAGTCTTTTTCCATCTGTGTTGAAAGATGAAATACTTGAAAATCTCCTTTCCCTACCCTAGCCCAGGGGATCCTCCAAAGGCTGAGAGGAAGCATTAGCTGCCACCAAGTTTACCGATTCAAAGTATGCAGAACATAGATAAAACAGAAAAGAATTTTAAACTGAATAAAACCCCAAAGAAACAATCCAGCCTGCCTTATCTGAAATCCATGGTCCGTAAGGAATCGTGTGTGTGTGCTCGCACGCCTGATGCATATTCCTTTCAGTGTATTAAAAAGTCATAACTATAGTTATTACAATGACTAGTGGACATCACAGAAGATGTTTCAAAACCAACAATCCCAGAATGGAAATCATTACCTTTCCCTTAAACTCATGTTGTGTTCCACAGTGCAGATCTCTTGTCTTAGATCCTTAAACCAGAAACCTCCAAGGTCTCCTCTGACCAATCTATTTGTCTCTACCTCTGTATCTGCTCACCATGCTCTACCAGTACACAACCAAAGCATCCTGCAATCCCCCAGCCCAGGGCACCACCCACATCAGTTTCCAGCTATACTCCTCACACGGCCACCTGGCTGCTCACTTTTCCCACTATTATCTGCACTGCTTCCAAGAGCCATCCTGTTAGATCATAAATTTGTCATCAAGCTACCTGCTTCCAGGTTTGGCTGGTTCTCTAAATAGCCAACAGGCATAGAGTATTACCACATGCTAGCCACGGTAGCAAAACCTGTACACCCATTACCTTCTTTCCTCTTCCCAATAATCCTGTGAAATCAATACAACTACTGTCACCACTTACAGATGAGAAACTAATGCACACTGAGTGTATCACTCATTCATGGCTCCTAGGATGGCAGGTGGCAGAGCCAGCATTCGCCTAAGATGCTCTTGCCTGTTCCATTGTCTTTGGCCTCTTTTTGCAGGGAGCTGTAGACTGTGGGCCTCTTGGGTGCAGTGATTGTACAACAAGGATAGAAAAGCTTTGAGCCTCTGGGATAGAATGGGAGGTGAAAGTGAAGGGACTCTCAGTAGCTGTCTCCTCCAATGGAATGAGGGCACTCTTACGACCCACACAGGGCAGCAGAAATACCCTGATCTCAAGTAAGGAGAAATGAGCTCAGTAGATGCTGTAGTGCATTTAAAAACAGGACTCTGCCCTGTCGAACGTGGAATTTCATTTCAAAACACTGTGCTTCAGATCATTATCACACGTTACTAATCAATGTTGCCTGGGCACCTCTTTTCATTGCTCATTCAGGACGAAGCTTAAGTGAGAGGTGACAGAGGCACACAAAGGTACTGGCAGAGTAACTTGACTGCAGTTAAGCGTCATGAGTTTGTCATTTAAAAGGACCAGCGAGCTGAGGTGTTATGTAACTTCTAAGGAAAAATGAGCCGCAGGAAAAAGAAGAAGAAAAGCTTAGGTATTGCTAAAATTGCCTTAACATATTCTACACACTCACAGAGTTTGATAAATATTTCATGGTCATTCCAGGAAAGGCTTTTAAAGGAATACCTAAGCCAGCAATTACGGGGAAGGGATGTCTCCTGCCCTGACAGAGTGGGAATGTCAGCTCTTCGCTGCCAAGCAGTGATTGGACCGATTGCCAACGCATGGTTGCTGAAAGGTACACATCCCGCTGAAAGAGCAGGGTCCCTAGTGGCTCCTTTTTCCTTATTTAACAACAAAACCACACACAAGTATGTCTCAAGTGGTGTTCTGAGGGATCTGAGTAAATCTGAGGCATTTGGCTGGTGTGTGTGTGGGGGGGGGTACTCTTGTGCTTCTGCTGAACCATTTCCCAATCCCTGTGCAGAAATTCTTGCTGAAAAGAGGCCGGGCTCCTTGAAAACGATGGTCCGCTTGCTAGCATGGGTGCTCAGCTGTAGACTGTTGGGCTCAGATCTCCTCTACCTAAACCCACTTCTGACTGGAAACATGTAGGCAAATATTTAATGTCATTATCTAACTACACTGGTGAAACTGCAATGCTCCAAGCTAACAGAGCCCCTTGGTATGATGTTAAAGATATTTCAGGGTTTTGTTTGGCTCAACAGTATATATTAAATGTCTTTCTTATAGTGAGTCCATAGAATTTACTGAAATATGTGTGCAATGAATGTTTATATTTCTCTCCTGGAAGAAATGTGCTTGTGTCATCCAAAAATGACCATGAAAAGTAATCTTTGATGGCCAATTATATGCTGTTTATAAGAAAGATATCATTTCTGAACCACTTGAAAAATATAATTTCAGCTCCAGGGATTTAGCTCAGTGGTTCCAGCACCTGCCTCGCAAGCGCAAGGACCCGAGTATGATCCCCAGTACCAAAAATAAAAAAAAAATAAATAAAAGTAAAATGCACGTGCTGAAAAATATAATTTAAAAGTTCAAGGTATACATGTTTATATTTTGAATTACACCTAAAATCAGAGATGATATAAAAGATGCTACTTTAAAAGCCATTCTGCAGAATATAGAAGTATTCTTTTTCTTTTCTTTTTTTATTTTGGTACTGGGGATTGAACTTGGGTCCTTGCACTTGCAAGGCAGTCAGTAGAACCATTAAGCTAAATCCCTGGCCCGAAGTATTCATAAAGCTTGTCAGTAGGTGAGGTATTTTGTTAATGGCATTAATAGCATAAACAAATATAGCTATAAATGGTGCCAACATTTATCCCCCAAAGCTATAGTTAGCCACAAAAGAAATAACAACTCTTCACATTTCTGAAGCCTACAAAAAGACTGCTACTGTAATTTCTTGCCTTTTCTTAAATGGCCTTTAAATAAATACATGAGTCAGTGAAGAAAGGCACTCACTTGAATTAAAGTGATAATTCTGCCAGGATGTCAGTATAATTAATTGTGGGTGGCAGAAGTTTTAAATGAGGCTACTTTGGAAATCCTGGTTTATTTATTTATTTTTTGCTCACTCTCCTGCTGTAACTGGAGCAGCTTTCCCTTGATCTTCGAATCGTGCCGTGTCACAGAACATCAGACCTCCATGCTTTTATGACAAGCCCAAGAGTGTTTCAATCACAAACACGGGGGCAGAATTCATATGCATGAATCCAGCCTTCTTCTTACTATTACTACAACTACTACACACACACACACACACACACACACACACACACACGTGCACACTTTCCTAACACTTGTTGTGCTTCTTCCACCACCCGGGCATTTGCATTCCTAACATTCTACCGGTCCAGTTTACTTCAGGGCCCTCAGGGTCAAAGACGGAGTGGTTTTATCACGGAGTTTTGTTTCTGGTAAGCTGCATCAGCAAACCACACAAAACGTGCTGCCTTCAAAACCTCCGCCTGCCGGTGCTACCTGTGCTGAGGACTAAAACGGCCCAGTCTCAAAACCAAGCTGCTGGGCTGCAGTGTGAGGCTGGAGTGTAGACCGCGTCAGAGGGCACCTTCTCTGAGGAAGAGCGCCGACTGCTTCCAAGACCCGAGGCTCCGGGGCACAGCTGATTCCAGCTCAGTGACCGAACTAATGAGTTTCCAGAACACAGCTGGGGAAATTCTGCAGCGAGGGCTGAGCTCGCCAAAATGGGGAACCGCCCCACTGTCTGCACCCTCCAAAAGTTCGACACAGGAAAAAAGTTCCACCGGAGAAGTAATCTTATGCTAAACAATTCATTAAAAATTAAACACTTCCTCAGTCAGGTTTATCTGGCTACCAGATATTGAAAACAAATACATTTTTTAAAGGTACACGATTGACCACTCATTTCTGAACTCTGCAGTGAAAGCGTCAGAAGGTTCTGAAACATTTGAACATTGCGTTCCAGCACAGAATGAGGGCATCGGACTAAAGAATTCTTATTTCACTGTGCACACCGTTCTATATAT